TTTATTTAATATGAAGTTCAAGTATTGAAAATTCACTTTAAATGGGTTTTCTTTATTGTTTATGATTTCATTTTGGTTTTGTTTTGTCTTCAACACTTTTAACTACACGTAAAGCACATAGTTAATAATCGTATATATATATTTGTATATATATTGTATGTTCATTTGTAGTATATGAAATATATATATATATACTGCATTTGTTTTATATAGTTTATGCATTTGCCTTGGTATCTAAATTGATAAATAGTGCATAGATCAACTAATCATATACTTTATCTGCTTCTTCTTTGTTTTAATACGCTGCAACTGAGTAAGTGGGTGTGGGGGTGTAGGTGTGTGCTTGCACAATCGTTTTTACCAAATTTCATAGTAAATTCTCGTATAGTGTATTAATTATTGCATATATATTTTTCATATATTTGATTTTCTTTTTTGTGTAACTTGCTTAAAATTAATTTTTGTCAAATTTTTGTTTGCATAGTTTTTTTTCAAATTTAGTTTAAACGAAATAATAACTTTAGCTCAACATGCATTGTTTTTGAAATTTTTGTTTGGACTGGATTTAACTTTGTTGATTTAAATTTTCATCAGCGCCGCTTGTTGAAGCCGTCATGGATGGTTGTGGACTCTGCGTTCAAGATAAAAATATAAACGCATTTAAATAATCGCATGAAATTAAAACTTAATAAGAAACAAAAAGAAACAAAATCAAGGTGAAGAAAAACAAACAGTATAAAATGTAAGGGCAAACAAAGGATTATGATAAACGAGCACAGCAAGCAATTTCCATACGAATCACCGGGACACCTTAACATGTATGGGCCTTGGGTGGATCGAATTCAGGTTCATTTTGGTTCGGTTCGGTTCGTTTCAGTATGGTACGGTTTGGTTTGGTACGATTAGTCTATCCAAAGACAATATAAACTTCAAGCTGAGTGACGTCACACAACAGAGCATAACATATGTACTAGGAACAGAATGAGCTCCTAGCTCCCGCTCAGCTATTGACGGAAGTACGTAATTAGTACAGCAGTAAAAATCAGAGCGCTGCAGCTGATGTACTTATCTGAGTACCACTCCTACATGCGCATGCTCGCATGGCGAAAACGGGACTTTTTTCGTGTGGCTATTGAGTATTAAAAAAGGCGTTCGGCCTATAACGAAAAGCTACAAAAAGCTAATATTTAGAATGAGTAGAAGTTGTAAGCTAGGCCAATAATCACGGATCAACGAGAGAGAAATCTAAGCTTTCGCCACAGCCAAAAGCGCTTCCAATAGGAATAAAGCTTTTTTGTTGCTGTCGTTCATTATGGTAAATATATAAGAAAGCTTTCTCGTATTACTGTCTGCTTCTTGCACTATTCAGGTTGCTTCCTATGATCAATTTATTTGAGTGCTTTGTGCAACTTTGTTTAAGTCGCTGAATGTTAAAAACCGCAATAGAAATTTGTTCGTTCTTGAGTTCAGAGCAATCGAATTTCATAGTAAGGAATGAGAGAGTGCGAAAATGCACTAAGTTCTATTGGTGTTGCTACTTAGTCATATGTATAGTTTGAGTTTGAAAACTGCTCAATTGCTTGGAACGCTCTTAATGTTGGAGTTTATATTATCTTTGATCTATCACAGCACTGTTAAAAGATAAAATTGTTCAACTCGACACGCAAATAACTTACAGGACTTTAATCGTGAGAGTTGTACGAAAGTATATTTTTATAGCATAAAATCGCATCATTTAATGGACGTAATATTTCTGTCGTACGAGTATACTGTTTTTTTTTTAATTTTCTTTTTTTTTTTAATATAATGCACTTTTTGACTAAGACTAATAAAATGTATACACATATTCCTATAATAAATTGAAATGAAAATTAAATAAATATTATTAATAATAAAATATAAATATTCAATCTTATGTAGATGAGTTAAAGCCGAACCCAAATAAATTCGTATTTCTTTCTTTGAGTGTATTTGATGAGGGAGTCGAGAGAGCAAAAGCATTTTGCACGTTTTGTTGTTGTTTTTGGCTTGTAATTTTTAAATGCTGGGCAGACTTTCACAATCATCAGAGATAATACATAATACACACATAAATAGATTGAGCATATATAGCTATATAGTCTAGGTTTCAGTAACTCCGTTATATATATCTTTTGTTTAATAAAACATTTGTACTATTCTACATAGTATAAAAATGATTCTTGACTCTTGCCATAAATAATACTCTTTGTTGGTATTTCTTAAGTTATGTTAACAAAACTTCTCTTACGAGTGTTAGGTATTTTCTTTGGTATTCTTTATACGCTTGCCAAAAATGAAAATCTTTTGGAAAGAGCATAAACCAATTTCAGCTAGCCGAAATTTGCTTTGTGTTATAGACTGTATTATAGGGTATATACAAAATTTAAAATAGAAACTCTTGCAAACTCAATCGAGATTTTCTTTTGTTTGTGTTTAAGATTTGAGCTAATTTTTGTAATTTATAGTTTTAAACCTGGTTTCGTATTTTAGGTACAGCTAGGTAGTATATTTCTTGTGTTGTTTTCGATTATTGTTCTAAAATATTTGTTTTTGGTAATAAGTTTACTTAAAAAGCGATTCAAATATATCGTTACACACACAGTCAGAGTTACAAAGACCGAATTCTAGATGAATGGTCGCAACCAAGCGACCCTGCGCCGCAAACTACAAATTCCAGATGAAACAAGAGACGCGAGTTTCGATATACGATTTCGAAATTCGAATTTCGAGTGAGAGCGAGAGCGAGAGGGCGAGAAAGAGAGAAAGAAAGAGAAGTGAATGTGTGGAAAAAAATGTTGAACACGCCTTCGAGCACGTTTTTCTTCTTCTTGATGTTATATACTCGTTCACGAACCTACGGTGTATATGGGCTTTCGGACAGTTTCCATATGTTTAGCTGATTAGCGGAGAATACTCAGATGATAGTCTAACTTATGATTAAAATTATGGAAGCTCGATGTATTTGGACTATGTAATCATATATATACTTCATTTACATATTTTTGGGCTATATAGTAAATGTAATGAGGCGGGGCACATCGGAATAAACTATATTGTTTTCGAGGCTTACAACCTGAGTCCAAAGTAAATAACTGAGTGATCAGCTCTATAAATTATTTTGAAGTCATTGCGAACTCTATCATCTACCAAATTATAGTTTTATTTCGTGAACGAGTATTCTGCAGTCGATGACGCCCGACTGCAATGATCTACACTTCTTTCATTTAATACATATCATGAATATGAAGAACGTTTTTCTGTTTGTTTTTAGAAAATTTAGTTAACGATATTCAATTTCTTTGTTAATGCATCTCAGTTTTGAGTTTGAAAGAAATTCATTTTTAAATGCAAAACTATAAAAAACTAACTTAAAATATTAATAAAAATATACAGATAACAAATTATGAAAAGAATACACCCACTATATGTATATATATGATATATTGATTGTGCTACAAAAATACTTTTAGTATTTAGATGTTGTATATATAAATCAAATCGGAGCTAATCAGATGCTTATTTGATTAATTTGTTAGAGATAAAGTGAAATCCAAGTTAGTTCGAGCTTTAGTTTTTGTAGTATTTTTGGGTGTTTCGTAAGCCTTAGTGAGTGCTGTTTTTTTTTTTTTTTTTTTTTTTTTTAGATATATAGGTTTGCAGTGCTTTTTCTCTCAGATATTGCTTGATCGTATGCCATTTAAAAATGAAATGAAAATTACAATTAAAAAATGAATTTCTTGAGCTAAACACAAAATGGGATGACATTCACAAATTGATGTAATGATGTCTAGATGTATTGATGAATTGTTGGTAATGAAATCAACTGCAAATTACAAATTAGATTTGAGAAAACCGAAAAATGATAACCAAAATGAACTACAAATTGTTATTTGGAAACTACTTCGATGATTTCTTAATATGATTTGATTCTTTGATCGCTTTTCTTTTTACCTGTGTTGGTGGTGTTGTCAGTGCAACAGAGTGTTCAACATTTTTCAAATAATCCTTATCATCGAATATCTTCTTCTCACCGCCACCGGGCTTGTGCTTAACATTATCCAAAGATCCAACTTTGCTTTGTGCCTTAATTTCTATTTTTTGCGATTGGATCTGAAATGTAGTGTCAAAGCCACCAACAAAAACGCACACAAAATTCATTAGCAACGATTACATTGTATAGAGTAAATCTTTCCATTATATACATTTGTAAATATATACATTTTCGATTTGCTGACCAATTGTTGTTCTTAGTTAACTGCAATTTTTGAATTTTCTCGTTGATACATCAATAACATGAACAATATTTACAGGGAGAACATTTTCTATATTGGTGTTCTAGAGGAATTCTTCAAGAAAGTGTGATTAAGTGATTTAAATACTAAAAATACCAAATACCAAAATTACACAAAATACTAAAAATTAAAATACTAAATAATTAAAAATTTGTTGTATAGACAGAACTAGTGAAAAACTCGGTTTTTATAATACATTTTTTGATATACATTTAAAATAATTTCAAGTTACTTACATCCTTCGTATTGTTATCCTGGATTTTTTGTATTTTTTGTGAACATTTGTTAATTATTAAACATAATATAAAAAGATTTGTATTCAAGAAATTTTTTGTAACTTCAATGGGTTAGTGAAAACAAAATCCAGTTGAATAAATTAAATAACGAAATTCATATATCTGATTATATACAACAAATACCACTCAGAGAAAATATGTATTTAAATTTCCAAAAAATTGTTTAAAACATTTTGATTGTTAAATTTTGTAGCTTGTAAAATTTCCTTTAGAAATATCGTATTCAAATTAATTTTTTGGTTCAAGTATGACGCCTAGATTGTATATTTTTCATTGTAGAGAATAAGCTGTTTTCTTACAAATAAATGTATAGGTAGGGAGTAATTGTAAGAAGTATAGCTAAAAAGTACAGCTAAAACGTATAGTTAAAAGAAATGTTTAAAGGTATAGCAAGAAAATATGTATGTATGTAGTATTTAAGCAATATGTTGCTGAAGTATTATGGCCACAGGTAATCAAGCTTCGTAGCGTTCAATATTTAGTCTGGTATTTTTGACAGCTCTTTAAAATTAAATCAAAAACATTCAACCCTAACCCTACACAGGCTCATACAGATTGAGGCAATAAATGTCTATTATAAGCCAATAGTATTCTGTTACAATAGATTTTTCTCTGAGTGTACATAAAGCTGTTTCTTTTTCTATATAATTCCAAAGCTAGGACCGTAACTGCCATTCGTATTTACAAAGTTGCAAAGCTTTAGTAACAATGGAGTCACCCAGGTGGGGGTTAGATGATGATTTTGGATAGTGCTTAGCGTTACGTACCCAGCTACACCCAATGTTATTCGTCTGCATTATACAAATTGTCATCCAGACGCGCATTGTCCATCAAACAACGATGGCTAACTATTTTGGAGCCCTCGCCAAAGACAATGTCGTTGGGGTATTTCTTGTACGAATAGCTCTGCGGATTTTGATAGAGTTTTCATATTTGGATAGATAGATGTGTTGGTGAGCGAGTCGAGAGCATGCCAAAAGTAACTAGATTGCATAAACATGCTCCCCCATGCCCCGTGCCCCGTGCCCCATGCCCCATTTCCCGCATGCCCAACATGCCCCACATGCCACCATGCCAGTTAAAGTCAACTTCTAGGACACCAAAAACTAAAATACTTAACTGCTTGGAAGAGTAGGTAAATCATAAATATACACAAGTCCCAATCAGAGTCAAGACTCCGATTTTGAATCGAAATAAAGAATAAATAAAGAAAACGTTGCTTCAAGTGCTTTTCGGCTCACCTTAATATCGCCTCCGCCGGGCTGATGCTTCACGTTGTCCTTGGAGCCGACCTTCGGCTTGGCCTTGTCCTTGAAGTCCATCTTGAGCGACTCGATCTTTTTGTCGCCGCCGCCCG